TCTCTTAAGTAAATATTAGAAGAAGACAAAGGAATTCCAACAATGCTCAATATTTGCTGCAACACACAACTTTGAAGACAAGAAGAGATATCTGTTTGTTCAAGTAAAAACTCATGAGCTCACATGGTACTAATATTAAACCATAGGTCACATATTAAAATAACTCCTGTATGTGTGTCATTTATATACACATACATACATACATACATACATGCAAACATGTATATACATATATACATATATATTAGCCTACAGATATATATATAAACATATATGTTAATTATTTATGATAAAAACCATGTTATGATGCACTTCATTACTTTCCTAATAATTTATTGATTGTTTATAATTGAACCTTACAGCAAGGGTAAAAATTAAGTAGGTACATTTACTCAACTACAGTTTTGAGATACTTTACTTGGATATTTCAATTTTGTGAAGATGAATAATTTCACTCCACTATATTCTAGATGTAATAAACTGCTTTTACCACTGCAGATTCATCTCAGTTCATTCAGTAGAATATCTTGTGCTTGGACCAGCAAAAGGATTAAAATACATTAAACACACAAATTATGATGTTTTTTGATAATTATTAAAATAAATAAAGAATAAAACAATACATACAAAAAAAGAGAGAGACATCTTACAAATGCAACAAAACAGTGGGCACAATGGAGGGAGGCAGTGAAGGAAGGATGGGCTTTGAGGACAACACTGTCCTGAACCTGCTGGTTCTGGAAATAATACTCTGGTAATGTTTTCCAGAGGGTAGAAGACTGCGTGTTTGAGGTTGGGATTTGGGTTTGAGTGTGGTCCTGCATGATTTTGTGGGCCTCCTTCGAGCGTCTCCTGTGGTAAATGTCCTGGAGGGATGGTCGTTTATTGCCTGTGAGAAACTGTGCTGTTTACATCACCTGCTGTACAGCTTGACAGTCCAGGGCGGTGCAGCTTGGACACCACACAGTGATGCAGCTGCTACGGATACTCTCAATGCAGCACATGTGGAAGGTGCGGAGGATCTGTGGAGCCATGCTGAATTTCTGTGTTAACATTAATCCCTGTTGCTGACCAAAAGGAACTTGAAACTGCTGACACTCTCCACTTAAGGCATATTGATGAGTTTGAGGGTGTTTCCTCCCCGTCTTTGCTACTTCCTGAGGTCCACAATCATCTCCTTCACCTAGTTGTCCTGGCGCCATATTACATGGTTTCACCTCTGCCATGTATGCAGACCTGTCACAGGCAGTTACAATGTTTTGTGCACACACAAAACCAGGTTACTGCTTTACATGCCTAAAACCTCTGTTTGCAAGTAGCAGGCTAAATATGATTTGTATTTTTGAACCAAGATCGGTATATTTGAAGTGCATTGTAAACGTAATGTTATAAAAGAAACATGCTATTCTATTCCTTACCATACATGTGTCTAAATGATACAAATAAAGAAATACAAATATATCACTGTTCCGTAGATGATGTTTCAGAAATCATGCTACTGCTAAAAGCCAGAAATAATCAGATTTTCTTTTGTCTTCCATGAAAATTCAGTAACTGACTGTGGTGATGGCTGTGGTGTCATTCTCTGACTGATGAAAGTGGGGCTGGGCTGTGCCACACAGTTATGTATGATCAGGGAGTACTGGCATGGGCTTAGTCCGCAGTCTTGAGTGTCTGCAGTGCTGAAAAAAAGAGTGACAGAAGTGCCCGTCTTCATCACCCGTGGTCTGCCTGTCAGCAAGTACAGGATTCAGTTGCACATAGTGGTGCTCAGGCATGGTCCCTGAGGATGAAGGGAATTGTAATGAATGCTGCTGTAATCAACGGTATTCACACGTGTATGCTCTTCTGGTCCAAATGACAGTGACAGGGCAATGTGTGGTTAAGGTGATGGCATCCTCAATTGATCTATTCAAACTGCAGAGAGTCTGGATTGCCCAGGGGAAGTAAGTCCAGCGGATGTGGATTTTGACCAGCAGTCCACGGCATCTCATGATGACAGATGTAAGTGGAACACGGTAGTAGTCCCACAGTGGAGGATATCCTGGGTTTCTTAAGAACAACGGGAATGCATGTTGTATTGCACTGAAACATTACAAACTGGAGCCGCCAAAGTTTGAGTGTATCCTTTAGGAAATCTGCCAGCTGATCAGCCCATGCTTTCAGAATCGGGCCAGAGATTGTCTCAGGCGCTTTAAGTGAATTGGTGTACCTGGGGACTCCGGTCATAGTAGCTCTGGACACAGTGAGTGCTCTCACATACTGGCTGGTTCTTACTGTGATTCTCAAAACCGTGTGTTGGACGTCTTCAGCTTGTTGTCAGAGGGATGCAGATACATGTGACGCACAGCTGGGCTTCTCTTTGTGGCTCTGCGATTGTTCTCGGACTGCCAGAACTGTCCTTCTGTTGGTGTCTGTTAATTTACTACAGATTATTTCCTTCCTATTTAGTGTTACATCAACAGTGTTTTCCACTAAACTCAACTCTGTCGTTGTGTGTAATTTCACTCGGCAAAGGACATTACCTCAGGAAATTATTTTCTTTAATGTTGTATATCATCTTACTGTGCCATAGTGCAATTTAAAAGACCAGTGTTCCCCTTTTAACAAATCTGCAGACACATTACTGCTTGGATGTGCATACTAATATGCATGTTTAATGTGTATGTGTCCTGTACTGTCCCTTCCTGCACTATAGAATAACCTAAAGTCAAATCTGGCTGTCTTTGAGGCATATGTCAGTATAAGCTGTGTTATTCAAGTAATTTATGTCTCTGCACTAGTGCCACGAATACTAATTCCCGTAGTTTTAGTGGGTCAAGTGTTTTCCACTCTCCTTGTTTCCAAAAGGCAAGCCAGCTCACTGTGAAGGGCCGGAGCATCTGAGGACACAAAATGGCTGGGCCAGGATACATGTCTGACATGGGTGTTGTGGAGCCAAATAAATCCCTGTTAGCAGAACGGCTTGATCCAGCGCTGGTGCCAGACTTGGAGACCGCCCAAGCCACAGGACAAGGATCAACTCTCCATGAGCATGAACCTAACACCCACACACTTTACTACCAGTTACAGCACATGAATCAACAGTTAATAAGATTATGACACATGTCTAAGGTGCTGAAGGGCTCGGGATATGGTAATTCTGAGGTTAGGACAGAATACAAACCTAGACATAAACAAGTTTGTAGTTTGACATGCGTGCTTGGGTTTTATGGTGTGACCTTAATTGTTGAGTGGTCTGTAATCTTTAGCCACACAGTGGGTACAAAATGTATAACTGTCTAATGTGGAATGGACTGGAATATTCAGGGAATGTTTGTTGTGAAAATTCTTGTCGTTTTGGAGGCCAAGCGGCGCTGGCAGAGAATTTAGAAAGCAGAACAGCAGTGTACAGCATACAGTAGCTCCAGCACTGTGCTGACTGCTAGATCGATGCAAGGGATAAATAACTTGTGCGACTGTAAGATTCCTGTTACACATTTGAACAGAAAAGAAATGACTATTTAGCATTCTCATACATTTTGTAAGCTGTGAGAAGGGTAGGCACAGTATGTCTTTCATGGTTTTTCTTCTTGATACTGACCCATTCTTTGTTTAAGCACTTGGGTGCATTGCAGTTTTGAGCAGTTTTGAGTTTTAAATTGTCTTTTTAATGTAAATAGCCTACCAAAAGATATTTTCAAGATAGCCCAAACAGATTAGATATGATGGAATAGAAATAGTATGTAAGCATGCAAAATGTATCTATAAAAGCTATTATTTTATACAAAAAAAAAACATGGATAGGCCATGGAAAACGCCAGAAATTAACATATATTGCTTGAAGGCAGCTTCTGTTACATCACAATTCTCTTTACAATCTGCACAGTTCTGCGTCTTGTTTTCAGCCTGCAGCAGGACTGAAGAACTAATAGTTGGAAAAGGATACATGGGACCGGACGGGGCCCTCCTCTCTCTTTCCCCTCTCCCCTTCGTATCTGTAGCCTTTACTATGTTTACATTATAGACACACCCCTGACCTTCACCCAGGCCCCCTCCGCTGGCCCTGACACACCACTCACACCACCATTTCCACCACATACCAGAGCTCCTAAGTGCCGTGAATGAACAAATGTCACTTAAATAGATAAGTGGATGCAGAAAAGAGATTTTTTTTCCAGGGGAAAAGCACTAAATATCAGCAATATTTGCTCAGTTTGATCGTATAGTGGGCTTGTTTAGGCTCTTATTTTTAGCACACTCGGCCATCGCTCATGCATTGCAAATGTATGGCAACATCGCCATGCAGCGGCATTGCTTCCCAGCCTACCACTGTACTGCAGAGTAGACACACCCCTCCGATACACCCGCCTCACTGCACACATTTGCAAAGTGTCAAAGAAATAATGAAGCAGAATGCATAAAATGAGCAGTTGCGGGCCCGGCAGAGCTCCTACTACTATTTCAACTGCGTGGTATCGATGGTGATGGGGTTGTAGTTTATTTAAATCACAAAAATACAGGTCTCAGCCTGTGGCTGCAAAACAAAGACACTAAGGTGCGTGAGAAAATACAGCGTCAAACGGGACGATTTTCACCCACTGAGACACCGCACCGAATCTAATGTTAGCACGGTAATCCCCACGCCGGGTCTCAGTTGATTCAGAGATCAGAGGCAAAACGGTGTTGCTTTAAACCTCACGCGGTCAAAGTTGTTTACCTCTTCGTTACCTCTGACGTCACGACACACCCCTGTTTGAGGGGGGCGGCCCTACGTGTTACGAGCACCGGAGCCGGCCAAACAGAGCCGGGCTGGACGGAAATGTCACCAACCACAACACGGGAGACACGCCGAGCGCACCTGTGATTGGTTACCGGAGGGGCTGGGGGGGAAATCCCTCTTTCCCGTAGAGGTCCTCAGAAGGGGGCGGTGCATAACAAAAAAAAAGTAATGGCCATCTATTTGGGTCCTGAAGAAGGAGGGATAATTCTCGTCGGACTACCGTAGGTGTGATTGAATTTTCTTTATGTTAGCGTGCACGTTCGCCCGACAGTGATAGCCGGGTGCGCCTTAACCGTTTTTTCCGTTGGATGTCCGCTGCCCGTGGTCGCAGAACGGTTAATAAGCTGGCTGAACTTGGAGCCGCGTTTTAGGGTTAAAGCAGCCAGCCAGCCACGCTAACGTTAGCCACTACCAGCGCTGCTGTGAGAGCCAGCGTCTGAAAAGGGCGTACGAGTTTGACGTTTTCTCCCCAAGTCTCCTCACATTTCTGAGTTTGGTACAACGCCGTCCTCTCTCCTCAAAGCTAACCTGGCCCAGGCAACATGGAGGGGGCACACTTTGCAAGAGCATGAAGACGACGACGACGAACGGCAACTAAAGAGGATTAAATGCAACTCGGTCTTGATGGGGAAAAGTTGAGCTGAGGTATGAAACTCGCATGCACAGGAGGAATGTTTAAAGTCGACACTCGAGTTATTGTAATTTCTGTTCCTCAAGGCCACATAAGAATAAGGTTTAGCACTATATAAATGTCTTTTTACCAGCGTGTTTGCCTTAACTACCGGTACTTTCCTAACTGAGTAACTGCTATATGATGATTGCCACTAAGTGTGTATGTTGCTGTTGAAAATAGTTCAGCGTTACATAAACAGAGCTACAGCAGGTCAGGTACTAGGGTAAAGGCCCACTCACTGACTTGCGACATGCCATTTTGCTTTTGTATTGAACAGGATTAACAACTTGGGATAAACTGAAGAAAGGTTTCAAGTCTTACCTATTGTACAAGGGCATGCTAAAACCTCAGGTGAGATGTTTTTCTTTTGCTTTTAGGTTACATACCTGGCAATATGCACTCCATGCATTGATATTTAGCTGTTTTTGTAGAGACACGCTGTGAAATCGCCTATTCACATGTAATTAAGTCCAAACTTGTGATGTTTTCAAGTTAAACATTTTTGTACAGATTTTCTTGGATTTGTTGCAGTCTCATGAATTCACAGCTGTGTTACTTTAGTTATATATAATGAATTCATTCACTGCCATCATACGTGAGAAAAGAGCTCTCTGAGGACTAAGTTGGTACATAATGTAGGAGCAATTGTAAATATTACATTTAAAAAGACTGTAATATCTCTATGTCGATACTTTTACAGTTTCTGAATTACAAATACCAGTACTTTTAAAACTTTGGTTAATTTAATGTGTCTGTGACCATCCTATAGCCTGAGGACTGCGGTCTGACTTCAAAAACTGTGTAATGAAATCTGCATAACTTGTCAATACAATACATTTTTGTATAGTGTGTTTTTCTATCCCCAATGAGGACAGCATCATAGAGTTTATAAAATGAAATTTTTCCCATAAATTATTAATATTAGTTATTACCTTCTTACTCACCTTTTTATAACACACTGTAATATTTATTTTTCTTGATTAAGGCATAATACAATGCTGATAAGCTGCAGTGATTTCAACTGCTAGTGTCATGTAACATACAGTTACAGTTTGACTGTATGAGTCCCACAGTTATCTGAGCATAAAGAGAGTTACTCTCACAAACACACACAGTTGAACAGTTGGTAGAATAGGTTATATGTATACAACTATTTATATGTTTACATCTTAACCACTCACTACATAGTCATGGAGAACTGAGCAACTGGCAGATAATGACATCATTAATTACTATGAGCGTACTGTCTTTCTCAGACTCCAGCTCTTCTCTCTCTCTCTCTCTCTCTCTCTCTCTCTCTCTCTCTCTTTCTTTCTGCTGCTAATCGCTTAAAAGAAAATCTGAAGGGACCAAATACAGCTAACAGCAAGGGGCACATATTCTTACCTACGTATCTTTCCAGCAGGCTTAGAGCTGCATTTCTCACACCTATCCATTTCTGTTTATGAAACAGTTTGACACTTGAAAAATGGCAGGTAGGTTGTTTTTATGTCAGCTGCTTCATTTCATGGTTAAGATATGGTTTCCCCACTCGACAGCTTATGTGACTTAAGATCAACGGTAACATATGTTCTGAATTTAAATAATGTGGAATTGGAGAGAACCTGCATTATTTGGGACATGACTGGAGACTTTGTTCAAATTAGGGCCAAGTATGCTTTTGAATCAATTTTCAGTGAATTTGTTCATTGAATTAAGGACAGACCTGCAATGGGGATCTATGAAAATGAGCTCACTTTGTGTCTTTATTGACTATAACTGTAGCAGGTTGTTTATGGCGCTGTGTGCTGTGGTGATGGTACAGTCCATTAGGCCTCCTATACAGTGAAATACCCCGCCCCCTACCCCCTTTCGTGACTGCAGTAATTGGTTGCTTCCTCTCACATGTAACCCTATAGAAAGAAAGAGGCTGCTGTACTTAACTGTAAAGACCCACTTGTATGTACCTCTGTGCATGCGTGATGTTTGCCACATATGTTCAGTTGCTTTTGAGAGTAATGAAGTGTTAAGTTCCCCCTAATGTCTTTGGGTCCTCAATTACCTCCTGTGGTTGATGGTTTCAAGGCCAAACACATCACACAGGTAATGTTTGTTGTATATGGAGCACAAGTCATGCAGAAAAATAATTCTTCTTGGTGAGCAAAATATATACGTCACTGTTTGATATGTAAGCTGGTGGATCGTACAGCCGGATTTCTTTTTAAATTAATAACAGTGTATAAATTAATTACGTCTAAAATTTTGGGTCTGAATGTTTATTTTTCCACCTTTCAGAAGTTGAGTTTTTATAAGGAGTACAAATACCAGTTATTTTTTTATATTTTGCATTTTTAAGAGAAGTATTTCCTCAAAGAGAAACAGCATTTTATGGAGATTATATAACTTTGACTTGTGGGCTAAGTGCATTTGCGCCCACCTCACCCACATGTCTGTTGTCTGTCTGGTATTGTCCAGTCGGCTTTCTATGTGCACAAATCAGTGTGCTTGAGAATTTGCATTCTCTGTCAAATTCAGCATAGACATAAACAGGACTTTTGGTGTGTGTGTGTTTGAGTGGGCCTCTCCCTGCCTCGTCTCTTTCCCCTCTCCAGAGTCCAGCAAGGGGCCCAGCATAAGGGGGCAGGCTGCCGTCACTGCCTCTCTCTCCCCTTGCAGGCCAGCAGTGGGGCCTGGGCAGGGGGGGGAGTGGGGCAGAGACCATAGGGTTGGACACGGGACATGGCGACCCCCCCCCCCCCCCCCAGTTTAGTCCATCCTGTGTGGGGCACAGGTCACCTTGTCATGTGCTATTACTGCTGCTGTAACATGCTCCCTGTGATCGTAGGAAAAGAGCATGAGATAGACCCGTGGAGGTTGCAAGAGGGTGAATGAGAGAGAGGGAAGCGAAGGGACAGGACTGGACTAGTCTGCTCAGCCAGTTGTTTAGCTGCATTACAGACTCAGTTTGTCTACTTTGTTGTTGTTAGGTCCACACTGTCTGTTTTGTCCATTGTTCTCTTTCCTCTATCTGTTCTCCTCATGTATTGTTTTTTTTTTTTTTCTAAGGAAATTTCTTAACACCAAGCAGATTTGAATTAAACTTCTCTTGTCACAAATCCCAGATCATGTTTCCTTTTAATGGTACTTGTTTTTTTTTTTTTCACCCCCACCTTCTTCCCTCCTTTAAATTTCCCTCTTCGCACTCTTCTCCAGCCATTTTTGTGGGCTTAAATGTGCTGCTATGTGTGAATCACAAGCCCATGTATTTCCATTGTAGCCCAGTTCTCTCTGCAGCCCGGGTCATTCCAGATCTGATTTGTTTTATGTCTCTTCTGTACTCGTAGTGACCCAACCCGAGGTATGCAGTAAAACACATCGCCTTATGTTTTCTCCCCTCTCCCTCCAACTCTCCGCACAACTTCTCCGTCTTTTTTCTCTCTCTCTCTCTCTCTCTCTCTCTATCTCGCTCTCTCCCTCTCGCTCTCACTCTTTCCTCTTTTATATCTTTCTCTCACTCTCCCTTTTTCCCTTTAAGAGAAACTTTTGGCAGCATGGAACAATTTCAGAACCATTTGTGGGATTGCGTCATGTGATGTCAATGGAGGATGCTCATTGGACTGTCAGAGAGGGCCTCCTTCTCTCACTCAGGCGTTCCACAGCAATCCCTCTCTTTCTTCCCGTGCTGTTATAGGTCTGGATGTGATTCCGACTCTGACTCTTATGTGTTGGGATGTGGTCTGTAAGCCCATTGCTGACATTCTTGGGACGTGATGCCAGAGGTTTTTTATTTCCCGCTTTCCCGTCTCTCTTCTGCACGTCTGTGTGCAGTTAAAATGATCCCTCCTTGAAGCGCTGACTGGATCCTCCTATTTACCCACTTTGTTATATCTTGACTTGTCCTCAGTCACATTTCATTTCAACGCCCAAGCACTAATGGCACCACTTAATTAGGTTTGTTAGATGGTGGGCCTTCGTGGAGGGTGGGTTTTTATAATCACTTGATATTGACTTTGATGAAACTTAATCTAGCATCTGGGCTGCTCTCCAATTTTTTTTCACGGCTGAGGTCTCGTTTATGTCTCCTCTATAAGTAACAGTCCACCTGACAAAGAAAACCAATGGCCACTTTCCTGTTTGATAATAACATACTTGACAATGGTGCAGCTGGAAAGGAAATGGCAAGTAGAACAGAGAGAAATAAGCTACCCTATGAGTGGTATTGGACTCCTGCCATGGCCCACCTTGGCACGTATTCCTGTATGAACATCTCACAGAAGCTCAAACTCCCTATAGATGCAGTAACTGCAGCAGGAACACATGAATTACTATATTCTAAGGACTACGTTCATCATGCAGCATCCCAGGCATGAAGTGTTACTATCTCTCATATTAGCACTTTACAAGTGTCTGCTCCCTGTTCTTCAGGTTCACACCATCTGTAGTCGAGACTTAATTTCAAATTGATTGACGTCTAATATCAACTAATTAGAAGGTGCAAGTTAGAGGTATCCATTTGGGACACTGGGATGCAGATGGTGCAAACAATTTACACTGATAATGTGGCACAGGTTGTGTCATAGTCTGAATATATTATGCAAACTTTGGTGGGATATTCTTTCAACTGTAATGAGTTAAAAACCCTGCCAGGTGTTCATTAATAAATATTTAATCACTGGACCTTTTTATGTGGTGTAGGTTAAACTCATGTTATTAAAGACATTCTGTTATATGACAAGATCAGTGGTTTTTCAGACATGTTATTCTTAATTCAGTCCACACCACCAACAGCACCACACAAATTTATCTTCACAACTGCAGATCTATCAACTGTTTAGCATTGACACTTCTGTCAAAAGTGTCATGTCTTTAAATCCAACCTGAGACCAGCTCTAACGTCATTCCCTGGATTATGAGACACATGCGTGTCATTTCAGCCATGATGTGAATAAATCAAAGAGGAAAAGATGAGTCACTGCACCACTGCATGCTAAGTAGCACTTGTTCTCCCTCAGCTAGTTTGTTGGGTTAAAAGAAAGGGAAACTCCCTAGCCTCTCCTGCAACTACACCACCAAAATTGAGATAATGTCTTTATTTTGCAGCTTTCACCACCCAGTTAAAATGACAAGCTAGAGTCAGTTTGTGGTACTGTGCATAATTACAGCAGACCTCATCTCTTGCTCATCGGCCACTGCTGCCGTGCTTCTCAAATTCCAAAACCTCGGTCTTGCTTTTTCATCTCTTCATCACTTGATTTAACAGATAGTGAGTTCATCGGTTATTTCTTATTTGACTGATTGATTCAATTGTGGAGAGAAAAAAGCGATCACTGTAGAAAGTGCATATTTTACACTATGTGATCACTTCTTAAATT